GGCAGGCACTGTACAGTGAGCTGCACCCTAACCTCATTATGTTTTAATTGCTGGCATGACCTGTGAAATGTCCTTAGGCTGGGGCTTTTCCTTTTGATGTCGGCGCCCCATGACATCTGAGAGCCTCCTCACCAGGTCTTCATAAGGTCCCGGGGCACCCGGAGTGTGGCCCCCTTGTCCTCTGGGCCTCACCCCATGGCACCTCTAGAGCCATCCCCATGCCCTGCACTGTGTCCCCCACTCTCCAGGGAGCCCCAGGGTAGCCAGTGCCTCCTTCCATCCGGGTGGAACGTCAGAGCTGAGATCAGCGATTTCTTCATCCGGAGCCGTGGTCAGGGTGCTTGGGTCCAGGAGTGAGACATGAGCCTCAAGGATAAAGGCAGATGCGGTGCCAGGCCTGAGAAATCGGGGAGATGCTTTTCCTGTCCCCAAGGCCTGGCCTGGCTCTTGGAGTCAGGGGTCTTGTCTGGCAGGGGACTGAGAATCTCCCCCCATGCTCCTTCACTTGGGGGCTTGGAGAATGCTTTAGGGGGGATTATACAGGGCCCTTTGGGTCACAAATACAGAAAACAAGTTAACCACGTTTGATCCGGTTAGTGAGAGGTGAATCCATTGGCTTATGTTACCATAAAGTCCAGAACTGAAGAGGGTCCCGGCATGGCTGGTTTCAGGGCCCCTTCGGTCCCTTATTTAGCTAAGGACTCAGAATAGACTCCCATGGGTCCTGTCCCCACCCCTGCACCAATCATATTGAGCAGACAGGGAATGGAATGAGTTCTGATTGGTCAGGATCTGGCGGAGAGGGGTTGGGTGAGCCTCACAGAAACTGTAGGATTCACCCATTCATCAGCTCAGAGTTTGAGGTCATTGAGTTCATTCATTCATGCATTCATTCACTCACTCAGGCTCAGTGTTTCCGTGCAGTGATGAGCTAGACAGGCCCTGCCTCCCAGACCGAAACCTGGGAGACCACCAGACCTGTGAGGAAGAGGCTGGGTTCTCAGGGGAGCAGTAGGATCTGGGCAGGCTTCCCGGTGAGTGAGGTGACCACCGCGGGAGGTGAGGGTCGGGAAAGAGAAGAAGCCCTGCGTGTGGGGGACTCATGGCAGGAGTGCAGCCAGAGAGCAGAGGGCTGTGTGGCCACTGAGGCCGGAGCTGGAAGCTGCTCTGCAGTGTAGGTGCTGTGTAGTCCTGGGGAAGTTGAACGCCCTCTCTGAGCCGTACTTTCTCACTTGTAAGGTACCCTGGGTTGTGTTGAGTTAGCCGCGTAGGGCACTCAGCAGTGGTCCTGGTGCACTGTTGGGCTCTCAGATTGAACCCAGGACTTTCACATTGAGCTATATCCCCATCCCTTTTTATTTATTTATTTTTTAAAATGTTGAGACAGGGTCTTGCTAAGTTGCTAAATTGCCAAGGTTGGGCTCGAACATGAGATCCTCCTGCCTCAGCCTCCCTCAGCGCTGGAAATACAGACTGGTGCCACCGCGGCCGGGCCCCACAATTCCTCTTTAAGTGCCCAAGCCGAAGCGCTGTTAAGGATTTGCTGGGTCAGTGCACCCTCTGGTGGGCATAAGGGGACAGTTCAGGGACCAAAGATGGAACCAGAGGTTTACATTGTAGAGTTCTCTCTCCTGCTCCTCCCTGCTCTTTTCCTCCTTTCCTTTCTTCCTTTCCCCACATTTCCCAGGACCTGTACCTGGGGCCTCAGCGATAAGTTAGCCCAAGCCCTGCCTCCTGGGATTCACAGCCCAGTGGGGAGACCCAGGAACCCCTCTGGTACTGGAGACCCCTGCAGTTAGGTTCCAGTTTCCTGCCCAGTGTATGATGCAGGCCTGAGAAATCAAACTAAAAGACACAACTAGGAGAGAAAGCGGGGTGCCAGGACCACCAATGCCGGTGCAATTGACAAAGGCGCTGGCCAACCCAGGCCACTGATTTTTTTTTTTTTTTTTTGGTACCAGGAACTCAGGTCCTTGCGCTTGTGAGGCAGGCGTGATGCCGGTGAGCTAAATCCCCGCCCAGGCCACTGATTTTTATTGGTAATCAATTGGGGGTAAAGGTGAGCTATGTGTAAGAGCAGAACTATGTGCAAGGACACACAATTGTGCAGTTTCTATGAAAATCAATGTAAGCAAGGCTCGTAAAAGACAAGACCACGCATTCTCCAATTAGGAACAGAATAGACAGAATATATGGTTGGAATTTGAACATTGCCTTTCTGGCAAGAAGGTTTTAGTTGTGGGAACGGAATTTGGGTGCGAGTTACTCTGACCTCTGCACGTAGGCTTCGGCCGGACTCACTTCTATCAACAAGCCAATGGGGGGGGGGGTTAACTCTTCCCAGCCTGGACTGTTTACAGCCTGATTTGGGGCGTAATCAATATTACAGTCTCCCGCACTGTGGGTAGAGGTCGACTCCCAAGCTGGGCCCTTCAAGCTGGAAAGAGCCCCGGCATTGCCAGGCATTGCGTCAGGCAGGGGTGTAATACTCAGGGCCGGTGGGGTGCGGGGAGGACTCCTGCAGGGCAGTGGGAGCCACAGCGAGAGTCTGAGTAAGGGGGAGGCGGGTCAAAGGGTTTGTGATGCGTGGCGCCGGAAGGGTGTGGGCTGAGGCGGCGCCACTCCTGGCTGGGGGAGGGGCAGTCCCGTCTGGAGGTCTCGGGCGCTCGGGACCTGGCCCAGGCCAGGGTCGGGCTCCCAGCTCCCATGGCGAATGCCGATGCTCAGGTTGGCCCTGGTGGCAGAGCCCCAGGGGAGCCACAGATGTGAACCCTGCAGCCTGAGGCCGAAGTCACGCCCGGGACCCCTCCTCCAATCGCCCCTGCACCCCTGTCCTCTCGGAGACGTGACCAGACCCACGAGGCCGGATGTTTTGCAAAGGGCAGGGACGATGGTGCCAGAGACGCAAAAATTCAACAGCCCGTAGTAGGACGAGTTGACCGTGACCAGTGGTCCAAGGTCATCACAAGAGGAAATATATTTTTAAAAATTTTAAGGAATTTTTATTAGCACATGTTCGCAGTACATGATTACTTTCTTCTTGGGGAGTTGGAACAGGTACACAGCGCATCCTGATTTTTTTGTGTTCCCTTCCCCTCCCCTCCTTCCCTTTTGGTCGTCTCTGAGTCAAAAGATCTCAGTGGTCTAATATCAGACTCAGCGCAGAACCGGGTGTAGGGACCCAACATTGAGAGCAGGAGCAGCGGTATGCGTCCTGATTGGTTTTTTTTTTTGGTACCGGAGATCGAACTCAGGACCTTGCGCTTGCAAGGCAGGCAGCGGAACCACTGAACTAAATCCCCAGCCCACGTCCTGATTGTTTAACAAAGGTCAGGTGTTCTTGCTGTTCACATTTTACAGATGGGTAAACTGAGGCTCGGGGGGAGATGACTTGCCCAGTGTTTCACAGTGCTGGAATCTGATGCCAGACAGCCTGGGATGACTAGGCCCTGTCCCCTAGATACCTGTCCCTGGATGAAGCCTGCTTGCTGTGCCTGCCCAGCCCAGCCAGGAGGACACAGGATGTCGGGAGCCTGGCCAGATGTGGGAGTGAAGATGTTCCTTCCCCACTGGGGCTGAGGCAGAAGAACCAGCCAGGTGCAGCCTGGATTGCAGCATCAAGACAATAAATAACATACAGGGTGTTTTGTTTTTGTTTTTCCCCTAGTGCTGGGGATTGGATTCAGGGCCTTCACACTGAGCTACATCCTCAGCTCTCTTTGTTCTTTATTTTGAGACAGCATCTCACTAAATTGCTGAGTTGCCCAGGCTGAACTTGAACTTGCAATCCTCCTGCCTCAGCCTCCCGAGTGCTGTGATTATAGGCGTGCACCATGGTGTCTGGCTCATGCATCATTAATTTAAAAGGCGTGGTCCTAAGCCATGGTGTTTAAGAGCTTGGACACTGGGGTGCATCTGCCTGTTTCAGTCACGGCTCTGTCCACCCCGGCTGTGTGGCCTTGGACAGGTTAGTTAGGCTCTCGGACTCAGTTTCCTCACCTGTAAGTGAGAATGACAGCAGCATGTCTGGAGGGCTTTGGTGAGCACAATGGGAATCTCGGGGTGGCCTGGACCCTCTCCCTGGGCCTTGGCCTGCATCACCTGAGATCTGCCCACCTCCACAGGCAGCTGGGTGGGGTGTTGAGGTGCAAAGAGGGGACACCCCGATTCTGTGCTGGGAGCTCAGTCTGGGGCTCCCCACAATAGATCTCCCATTTTTCCAGAAATAGTTTTTCCCTCAGTGCCTGCAGAGTCTTCTTTTAATTTCAAGGCTTGTCCTTTGTCACCAGACTGTCCACATGAAACACAGCTCCTCAGTCTCCTTCACCTCTTTCTCTTTTTCCTCCTCTTTGCCTAAAATCTCCGACTATATTTTGACTGACATTCACAATTTCCCATTGTGTAACTTGAATAAGCCTTTTGTTTTCTTTTGCTAATAGCAGGATAGAAGCTGTCTGTGTTTACCGAGGTGGGACACCGTGAGGTCTGTCTGGGGCTGAATCCAAATTTCGTGGCCTGTTTCATGGGCAGGGTCGCCCTGCATGCATTTTCCTCTGGTAGCTTGCTTTCCTACTCCTCACCCACAGTACCACCGGACCCACCTCACTTTTAGGGGATTGACCCCAGGACCTTTGCACTGAACTACATCCCTGGAAGTGGTGGTGACCTAAGCAGCGTGTGAAAGGCTTTTCTGTCTAGTTCAGTGTCTGGTGTAGAATGAGCCCTGGCAGGAATGGTGAGCATCACCTTAGTGTTTCTTCTTTCCTTCCTTACCGAGCACAGGGGTGGAGTGTGACTCAGTGGTAGAGCATTTGCCCAGCATGTGTGAGGCCCTGGGCACCATACCCAGCACCAAAAGAAAAAAAAGAAAAAAAGATTTACTGAGTAGCATGCTATGATGCTTCTTTTATGATAAAATTTTTATTTGCATTTAGTACCCTTTATTATTGCTTTTTCTTTTTGAAACAGAGTCTTGCTATGTAGTTCAGGCTGGCCTTGAACTCACTATGTAGCATGGGCTGGTCTCACACTCAAAGGGATCCTCCTGCCTCAGCCTCCTAAATGCTGGGATTACATGCATGTATCACTGCACCGTGCTAGCAGACTCTTTTTATTATGCACACAGATTCTGACTCAGCAATGGTGAAAGGACACAGTGAGAATGGCTTCTTTCAGTCCCACAATGTTTAGGGTCGAAGCTGGAATGACTCCCCTAGCCAGGCTGTAGAATCTTCTGGAATCTTCATCATGGGTATGTCCGGTACCTGGTCTGGAGGGGGGGTTTTGCTGCATCTGTGGACTTAGACACCTACAAGTGGTCTCCAGTGTGTGCTGAGCTCCCTCCCAGCATGGCGGCCCAGGAACAGCAGTGATTGTTCTAAGAGAACCAGGCAAAACCATTTTACAACCAACCTATGTTTTTGTGGCACTGGGGATCAAACCCAGAGCCTTTGTACTTAGCTGCATCCCCAGCCCTTTTAAAAAATATTATTGTGAGACAGGGTCTCTCTATTTTTTTTTTTTTTTTTGGTACCAGGGATCGAACTTGGGTCCTTGCACTTGCGCAGCAGGCGGCGAAACCACTGAGCTAAATCCCCGGCCCAGAAATATTTTTTAAAATTAGACTGAGTCAAGTATATTTGATCCTGTTAAAAATGGTGTCTTTGTTATTAAAATTCAAGATTATCAGTGTTCCCCCAAAGCTTTTGTTTATGTGGATTATATCTGTCCATATTTACCCTATTAGGAATCTCAACTGAGAGATTAAAAGAATACTTATGTATTAACTCCCCCAAATAGCAATAACATCCGTCACATATTCAGGTATCTAACTTTTTTGTGTGTGTGGTCCTGGGGTGAACCTAGGGCCTTCACACTGTGCTACATCCCAGCCCTTTTTTTGTTTTAAATTTTGAGACAGGTTCTGGCTGAGTCACTAAGTTGACCAGGCTGGACTCGAACTTATACACTTTTTTTTTCCTAAGAGCTAGAAAAATTTATTCAGAGAAAGATAGCTTCTGTCTAAGCCAGAAGGGGGACCGGAAAACGGGTTGCCCGCCCACTGCATTTTTCAAAGGTGTTTTATATGGCAAAGCCATGCGGTGAGGCAGGTACAAAGTGGGACAACACTATAAGATCCAGTGGAAAATTACAAAGTGGGCACAAGGTGGGACGAAACCCTGACCAACCAATAAGAGTACCAGTATAGTCACTTCGGCAATATTGATTAAATGGGGGTCAAATGGGAAAATGAATCACATACTACAAGGAATTCCCCATTTAGAATATCAGTCACTGCTATTCATCTCTACGGGAAGTAGTGCCTCTTTTCTGTCCTCTTCTTCTTCTTTTTTGTTTTTTGTTTTTTTAGGCAGAGTCTCCCTTTGTAGTTCAGGCTGGTCCTGAACTCACTATGTAGCCCAGGCTGGCCTTGAACTTGTAGCGATCCTCCTGCCTCAGCCTCCCAAGTGCTGGGATTACAAGCATGCACCACCACCCTGGACCCTCTTTCTTTTTTTTTGGTACCGGGGATCATCGAACTTGGGTCCTTGCACTTGCCCAGCAGGCGGCGAAACCACTGGCTAGATCCCTGGGCCTTTTATATTCTCGTGCTTTTTTTTTTTTTTTTGGTACTGGGAATCAAACTCGGGACCTTGCGCTTGAGAGGCAGGTGCTGGAACCACTAAGCTAAATCCCCGGCCCCCTCTTTCTTTTTTTATAAAGGTAACCAGTGAATGTGCCTCAATTGTTGAGCTTACACACTTTGAGAACCCCTGCCCGAAAGTGCTATTTACTCTCAGGACAGCAGATTTGGTTTTTTTCTCTTCAAACACAAGCAGAGGGAAAGAATTTTGCAAAATATTCGACATGTCCTTTTCATCCAGGTGTTTCCGTGGGAACCTTAGAGGCAGTGGCTAGGACGATCTCAGGTCCCTCTGTGGCCCGAAGGGGACTGTGCCCCAGAGGAAATGCCCGGGAAGGGGCCAGGTCGGACACTTGGGAGCTCCCGTGCCCCTGCCTGACTCTTCCCACTTGCTCTGCTCGTAGGGGTCAGGGCTCAGCTTACCCTCATTGGATGCCTAGAAGCTTCAGCAACTCAGAGTCCCTGGCTTCCAGGATGATTCCTTCCATCTGGAAGTTTCTGGGTCTCCGATTCACAGACTCTGAGTTCACGATGTCCCATCATCCCGTGCAGCTCTGCTCCTCCAGCCTCACCCCACCCGGAGAGTGAACGGGAACGACTTCCCGGCGGAGCAGCCAGGAAACAGAGGAGGAAGACAGGTGGCCACCTGCCTTTTCCTAGTAAATGGGGACTAAGGAGAAGTAAGGAGAGGCCAGGCGGGACAGTCTGTGCTGGGGTGGGGGTGGGGAACAGAAGGTGACATGGTCAGTGACAACTACAATCAGTTCTAAGTGCACACCTGTAACCCTGGCACTCGGAGAGGTTGAGGCGGGAGAATCACAAGCTCAAGTTCAGCCTGGGCAACTAAGCGATTTGGTGACTTAGTCAGATTCTGTCTCAAAATAAAAAAAGAGCTGGGGATGTGTCTTAGTACAAAGGCCATGGATTCAATCCCCAGTATGACAGACAGACAGACAGCAGGCAGGCAGGCTGAATAGGAACCTGTTGTCTCGCAGCGCCCTCACGCACCCTTTCCTGTGTGCTCAGGCGGGGGCAGGGGGTCTATGTCTCTCCCTCTTCTCCCAAGGGCACCAGTCCTGTCTTAAGACCTGGTTCACCTTAATAACCTCCTAAATGCCCTGTGTCCAGAATTCATCCCGTTGGGAGTTAGGGGTGCAACACCCAAATTTGGGGGAACACAATTCAGTCCTTAGCACCCTCATACCTGCGGGTCCTCCTGCAAGCACACGCTGTCCCAGGCCTCCCTCTGTAGGCCAGTGCGTCCCACCTTCCTGTCTCGAGGGGAGAAGGAAACTCCCTCCCAGTAGCACTTGGGGCCGGGTGCGTCCCATCGTCCTGCATCCCCACCACCTCAGGATAAGGCTGGGTCACCGAGGCACAGAGACGACTTCCCATTACTGGGGAGTATGGGGCTGCCGGGTACCATTTACAGCCACCTCGTGGGAAGCGGAACAAAATCCTCACCCTGAATTGAATATTGTGAAAAGCATCCCTCAGTTAAGCAAATGGCTAAACACAGAGTTACCAGATGACCCAGCTTCCCACCCCAAAGTGTATCCCCAGGGGAGGTGACAACACACTGTGCACAGATGTCCCTAGCAGCATTTCCAAGCAGCCAGACAGGAAAGAACCCACGTTCTGATCAACTGATGGATGGATAAAATAAATGTGATGTACCCATTGCTATGGTTTAGATTTAAAATGTCCCCTGAGGGCCGGGGATTTAGCTCAGTGGCACCATGCTGCCACACAAGTGCAAGGTCATGAGTTCAATCCCTGGTACCCACACACACACAAAAATAAATAAAATAACATAAAATGTCCTCTGAAATTCTCATGTGTTCAGAGGTGGGGCTTTTGGAAGAGCACTGAGTCATGCTATACTCATCAGTGGGTTAATCCATTGATTGGTTTATAGCTGAACTCACTGTTAGAAGGTGGTTGGGAGAGGTGGTTCACAGCAGGTGTCACTTGGAAGGTGTATTTTTGTCCCTGGCTCCCTCCCCCCTCTCTGCTTCCTAATTGTCACGGAGTGAGCAGCTTCCTGAACTAGGTCTTTCTATCCTGCCGTCTCTGCCTGGCGGCAGCCAACCATACACTGAACCCTCTGAAACTGTGAGTCAAACTACTTTCAGCTGCAGACATCGGGTATTTTGTCCCAGCAATGAAAAAAATGACTATTACAGCCATCCAATGGGATCGTATTTGGATGAGTCTCAAAACAGTGATGCTGAGTGAATGAAGTCGGACACAGAAGCCACACGGTGGGTAACACATTTAGGTGGACGTCCGGGTGGACACCTCTGTGGAGACAGGAAGGAAGTTCTAGGGGCTGGGGGAAATGGAGGGTTGGAAGGTGATGCCTAAATGGGGGCAGACTTTCTTTTTTGGAGAGACGAAAATGTCCAAAAATGGATCACAGTGATGATCCGTGGAGAATCATATTTGCCTTGAAATTGTACACTTTAGGTAAATTTTACAGCATCTGAGTCTTGATCTTTGCAAGAATGGCGCCTGTGTTATCCACACCAGACAGGGAACAGCGCCAGCTGCCCTTTTTTTTTTTTTTTTTTTTTGGTGGTTGTTTTCCAGTCATGCAGGGTTATAAATAACTCGGGTGCTGAACATGGTCACATACACAGATCCCCAGTGAATTCCTCAAAATAAATCCTCTGAGGTCGGGTGTAGCTGCTGAGGCCATGAATTACTGCTGCTTGAGGGACTCACTGTGAAAAGGGGAATGCGCAACAGCCCTTTGTTTTCTTCAATGACATTTTGTGTATTTCAGTGTAAATGAAATCTGTCCTTAAATTTGCCTCACCTGCTTCCTTTCATCAATTGATGGTGGCCACTGGAAGTTGGTTCCTGTTTGGGGCTGGCGTGTCATTTCTGTTGGGCAGCAGCGCTCTTGAGAGAAGTGGAACATCTATTTCTGGATCAAAAAGGTGAAAGGAGAAGAAAAAAGCAGGAGAAATAAGAGGAATAGGCATGCAGCTTGCATCGGGCCATTTCCATGGTAACCATACAATCAACTCTCTTCCTGTGTGAAAAACAAACAAGGGTGGGGTGAAGTGTTTTTGTTCTGTTTATTTATTCATTATTTAGCCAATGCTTATATAATGGTAAGTTTTCAATAAATACCTTCATGGAGCTGGGGTTGTTGGGCTCATTGACGGGGGAGTAGTTTGTTTGGGGGATGGGGAGGGGTTGAACCCCGGCTCTCGCTCCAGGTCAGCCCTTTTTCCAACTGCTCTCTGGGATTAGCCCTCTTTGTACCCATTGGAATCCCCTGAGGCTGAAGAGTGGTATGGCCATTCACAGAGGAACAAGCTGAGGCCTCCAGGAGCTCGGACAACCCAGAGTTACAGCAGAGGAGTGGGAGGGCTGGGATGGAGCCTAACAGCCGGGCTGCTGCCCGCAGAGCTGGTGGTCAAGGGCTGCAGAGATCGGAGCCAAATGCACGTGGGAACTGCTATGGCTGGCAAGTGCCCACCTGGTTCCCGGCAGAGCCTGAGACCCATCTCAGTGGGGGTCACCAGGTATTCAGACCACACACTTGACGCACGCAAAGAAAGAGTAGAGGAGCCCACACAGGATGGGGATTGGGGCCAGGGCCTGTGGAGCGAGACCTGTGGCCTGATGGGGGTTCCCACGCTCCTGAAGCCGCTGCAGCTCCCCAGCCCGCAGGCCTGTTGTCCTTTCAGGCTGAGAAGGCCAACACTGTGAAGGAGGCTGAGCCCCGAGTGAGATCTGGACCCTTGGGGATGACAGTGCGTTTGGTTTCTGTCCGCACAGAGCTCCTTTGCCCTGACCGAGGCCTGTGCACCCTGGAAAGAGGCTTCTCTTCCCCGAATGTCCCCTGCAGTGGTGCCTACTCTTTCTTCTGCGAATCCTGCCTAGTTTGCCCACCGGTGAAGGTGGTGTTTCCGGCGCTCCACGTCCTGCTTCCCATGCTGCCGTTTAAGAACTGCTCCTCCAGCCAGGTGTGCCTAGCATTCTGGGAGGCTGAGGCAGGAGGATCACGAATTTGAGCCCAGCTTGAGCAGTTTAGAGACTTAGCACAACCCTGTCCAAACAAACAAACAGGTTTTGGATGTAGCTCAATGTGATGGCCTGAATTCAACCCCTCTAACCCTCAAACAGCTACCTGTACTGCTCCCATCACCACACCTGCCGACCCCAGCTCCAGCGTGGAGTGTTGCTATGGAGACCGTAACCAGAGAGGTTTATGGGGGGGGGCCGGTTGGTTTGCGCAGGGGCAGGCCTGAGGAGTGTGATGGCCCACACCCTGCTGAGCGTCTTCGAGAGCTTGCACCTGGTCACAGTTCAGAACCCTCAGGCGGGTGCCAGGGACATAGTTCCGGAGCAGCTGGGCCTTCGGAGAGCAAACCTGTTAGCCCCCAGCGGATCCCTGGACTGCCCGGGCCAGGGGAGGGTGAAGACGCTGTGCCACGCCTGCCACAGGCGACGGAGCCCAGCCCGGGCCTGAACTCCCAGCCCTGAGGGAGTCCCCAGGAGGGGTTTGGTGCGGTGCCCGCAGCCCAGGCCGCCCGCCTGGGCCCCTCCCGCTGGGATCAGGGTTGAGGGGCCGCGCCAGGCCGGGAGCCTCCTGCAGGCGGTGGAGGCGCTGCTGGTCCCCGCCGTGAGGGCCTGCGGCCACCTGCCTGTCCCTGAGCGGTTCCAGCTGCGCGATGTGTGTCATAGGGAGCGAGGGGCCAAGGCAGGCCCAGGGTCGGGGCAGAAGGCCGGGCAGGCGGACCTCGAGGATGGAGCGGCCAGGATTCCTGGCACAGGCCGTGGGGGCGGCGAGAACAAAGCCGGGGCAGCAGGGAGACTCAGAGGGGCAGGAAGAGGTGTCGAGGACTTCAGGGAGAGCCGCGCACCGCGACAGAGACCCTCGAGGGGACCTGATCCACGCGGGGTTCCCAGGTGGGGTGAGGGACAGGGCGCAGGGTATCCGATCCCCCCGATCCAGACAAGGGGCTCACTGAGAAGACCACGAAGGTGCAGGAGATGCTCCCCGAGTCCTCGGCCGCGACTGCCGGGAGCGGGGCTTCCACCGAGGGCGAAGCTGCGGGAAGCGCGGGACTCTAGGGGTTTGCTACAGCGAGAACACGGGTCCCTCCCGTGACAAGCGGAGGAGACACTGTCGCCAAAACAGGCCACCTGCCTTCAGCGGGGTCGCTGTCTCGTTGGCTTCTACGAGAGTGAAATTGGAGAAAGCAAGGCAGCCTTGAAATGAAGGCGCCGAGGCAGGGGCTGCAGTGGGGAGGGCGCGTGCAGACTTTCGGGCTCGCGCCCCTGCCCAGGACCAAGGCTTTCATCCCGTCGGTCGCCTGGCTCAGACGGAGACAGGGGCGCCCAGACTTGGGGAGGTCACCAGACGCTAGAATGGAGCGACAAGTCAGAGTTGCAGGGATAGAAAAGACACTTTAGAGAACCGGAACACAGGGGTGGTGTCTTCCGGTTCTCTAAAATCCGGTCCCACCGAGGCCTGGCTCACTCACTGCAGGCTCCGCCCAGCGCATAGGACACCCCGCCCACATCCCCGTAACCGGAGTTCCGCGTCCACCCCAAGGGCTGCTGCGCCCCGCCAAACCACCAGGGGGAGCTCCAGGACAGAGTTGCAAACCCCGCGGGCGCAGGTGCTTCCCGCGTTCCGGAGCCCTGGGCGCTGCTCAAGTTTAAAGCTCCAAGCTCCGCCCCCCGAAGCCACTTTCCCGGTTGGGCAGCGGTTCCCAGGTCCTGAGCCTGGTACCAGCGACTCTTGGGAACATACTAGCGATGCCTAATCCTGGGCTCTCCGAAGACCTACATAACCATTTGGGGAGATGGTTCCCTGCGGGTCACTGAGGCACACGAGGGTGACAGCCGCTGCCCTGGTGCTCCCAGGAACCCTGGGGTCTGGTCCTCAGCCCCGGCTGCACATGGGAACCGTGTGTGTGTGCGCTGGAATCATCTGAATTGTCATTTTCCCCTGGTGACAGTGAGGGTGAGGTGGCTGTGTTTGAGCATCTGCACTCGAGGGTGGGTGTGTGAATCTGCGTTATGGTTTGGATCTAAAATGTACCCCCAGAAGTCCCCTGTGTTTGGAGAATGGTTGGATCACCAGATGCTTTCATCAGTGGATCCAGCCATTGTTTAGTTCAGGGCTGAATGTACTGCTTGGTTTTTGTTTTAAATTTTTATTTATTTATTTATTCGTACCAGGGATCAAACTCGGGACCTTGTGCTTGCAAGGCAGGCAGCAGAACCACTGAGCTAAATCCTCAGCCCCCTGAATGTGCTGCTTGGACTTGGGTCATTGAAGGTGTGACCTGGAAAAGTGTATTCTTTTTTTTTTCTTGTCCTTAAATTCTTCTATTGGTACATTTTAGGTATACAATATATTTACATTTATCATTGGGAACTTGTACCTTTACCTGATGTATCTTGGTTCTTATTTTTTCCCCGTTCTCCTGCCCTCCCTTCAACTCCTCTACCCCTCCCTATATACAAAGACTTTGTTTCCATTTTTTCCTTTTCTCATATTTTGGAAAAGTGTATTCTTGTCCTGGCTCCTCCCTTCTCTCCACCTGCTTCTTGGGCACCATGACATGAGCAGCTTTCCTCAGCCAGGTTTTTCCACCATCTGGTTTCCACCTCAGAGCCAGCTGACCATGGACTGAATCCTCTGAAACCGTGAGCCAAAACAAACCTCTCCTTTAAGTTACAGGTGTCAGGATATTTTGTTCCAGCAACAGGAACCCTGACTCATACAGTGTGCATGTGTCAGTGTCCCAGGGTGCACACAGGGGTGTGTATGTGTCTCAGCTACTATTCGTATATAGGTGCACTATCTATGGGAATGTTTGTGTTTGTGTATGTGTAGGAGTGGGTGTGTATGTCTTTACACTCTGGGTGTAGATATTGATGTGTGTTTGTGCACAGGCTAATATGTGTGTGTGTCTGGGTTTATGAGTGTTGCAACATGGTGTTTAAAATGTGGGTTAAAGCTGTGCATGAATGATGTGGTACAAGTCAGTAATTCCAGCACTCTGGGAGGCTGAGGCAGGAGGATCACAAGTTGAAATCTAGCCTGGGAAATTTACCACTTTAGTGAGATCCTGCTTCAAAATAAAAATTTTTTAAAAAGGCCTGAGTACATAGCTCAGTGTGAAAGTCCTGGGTTCAATCTCTGTAGTACACACACACACACACACACACACACACACACACACACAAAGTTACCAACAAAACCCAATGGGTTGGGCTGGGGATTTAGCTCAGTGGTTCCAGCGCCTGCCTCGCAAGCGCAAGGTCCCGAGTTCGATCCCTGGTACCAAAAAAAAAAAAAAAAGGAAGAGTCATAAAACCCAGTGGGTTAATAATTTGTGAGTTTATGAATGTGCTTCTGTGTGTTGGAGTATATCTGTGACTGTGAACATGTGTGTCTGTGTTTGTGGCAGTACATGAATCTGCGAGCCCATGTATGGGTTGTGGCTCTGTACTGTGTGTGTGTGTGTGTGTGTGTGTGTGTGTGTGTGTGTGTGTGTGCATGCGCGCTCTCCCATAGCGAACAGTTTCACAATTAACAAGAGGGGGTGGTGGTAGGAGTGGAGTCCATACAGCTCTTGTGTTGAACCTGACCCGGCTCCATTACTTAGGGCCCAGCCTCCACCCACGCTTTCTCGCCCCTGAGTCCTCCGGGTTCCAGGACCAAGGGGCACAGAGACGCTGAGCCCACTTTGAGCAGGGTCAATTAGAAAACGGCATGGCTAGTGCTCCTCCCTGAGTCCCTGAGGCAGAGGTCCCCCTTTCCAGTTCTCTGAAGCCCTCCCAAACTGTCTCACCAGGTCTGTTTCTCCCACACCCTCCACCTCCGAGAGCCCCTAATAGTCTGTAGGAAGCATGGCGCCCTTCCGCCCCCGCCTGGCGCCCAGTGCCTCCCCCGCAGACAGCCCCGGAAAGCGCCCCCGTGTGGTGAGGTTTCCCTCAGCAGAGCAGGCTGCGGAATCCCCCAAAGGGCGCTGTTCCTGCCCGGCCCCTGGAAGGGAACTATTCACAGGGCTGTGGGTGAGCCGGCCATGCTCTGTGCTAACACCGTGCTTAGTTGAGCACCTGTTTTGTTTTAGTTTGTTCTTTTGAGACAGGGTCTCGCTATGTAGTCCAGATTGGCCTCGAACTCACTGTGTAGCCCAGGCTGGCCTCAAATTTATGGCAAGGCTCCTGCCTCATCCTCCGGAGTGCTGCAGGTGTGGGCCACCACTCCTGGTAGCACCTGTTTTAATTCCTGTAGGTCCAAGGTATCTGCTTGACCTCTGGAGGTGCTGGAGACTGAGAAATAAGGCCAGCCACGTGCGTGCCCCATGCCTAACACAGGCCCTGGGTCCCGACGCTGCTGACGCTTTTGGAGTTGTCACACGTCCTTGCTGAGAATAAAGTGCTGTTTCCTGGAAGCTGGCGCCTGGTGTCCCCAGCTCTGCCCCCATTCCCCTTCCTTCGCTGACTGTAATCCACAGCCACAATTGCCAGCCTCAGTTCCTGAGCCCTTCCTGTGAGTTGCTGGACCTAAGAGCGACTTGGGAACCCCACACTCCACCCTGCCACGCACACCCCCAGCTGGTGGGCAGAGCTGGGTTTTCAGAGCGGAGTTTCCCGAATCCCCTGTGGGCTTGGATCCTGGCAGAGGAGGTGGCTGATGGGATGGGGCCTCAGGGCTTCTCAGACTTTTACAGTTTAGAGTTTTTCATAGAAAATGTGGATTCCCTTTGTGTGCCGGAAGTCTGCTCTCTAGGGTCCGCCAGAAGTGATGCAGAGTCTCTGCCTTTAAAAAATCTCACACAAACAAAGAAACAAAAAACTCTCGCCTGTAATCCCAGCACTTGGGAGTCGGAGGCAGGAGGATCGCCATAGATTTGAGACCAGCCTGGGCTACATAGTGAGACTCTGTCTCAACAAAACAAAACAAACAAAGGCCAGGGATGTAGCTCAGCGGAGCTGCACCTGCCTGGCTAGTGCAAGGCCTTGAGTTCAATCCCTGGAACCAGAAAAAGAAAAGAAAAGAAAACAGAACAGCAACACAAGCCAAAAAAGAGAGATAAAGCTGTACATAATACTAGCCCCTCCCTTTTGGGGTACAAAATGCCCTAAATAGCCTCTGTCAGCATCTGTAGAAGTGTCTGCAGTAGAGTGTAACGAACCAAGGGAAAGTGCTGAGGTCCATGCCAGGCCGTGGAGCTGAGGGTTAGGGCGCTGCTCAGTCCTGCTGTGTAATTTGCCAGCCATGTAGCCTCAGGTGAGTCCTTGCACGGCTCTGGGCCTTGGTGACAGCAGAAGCTGCCTCCCAGGGTAGCTCAGCTGCCCCCGAAGGGCTTCTCACAGCCCCTTGTACACAGCCAGGGCCCCAAAAGGCTAGGCAGGGTCCTTGGCCGGCTACGGAGAGAGGGGGGTTTACCAAGCAGGGCAGACAGAGGCAAACTACCAAGGCCGCTAAAGGTCACACCTGTGTGGTTATGCTCTGCAGTTGTGTAAAAATGTGTGTGGGTGAGTAAAGACATTAAAAAGAAATATCTTCTAAAAGGAAGATTATAAGGTGAACCCCCCCCCACCCCACCCCCGGCACACATAAGCTGTCAGAATTCCTCTGGGACGCAGGCGTGGTGGTACATACTTCTAAATCCAGTACTCTGAAAGACTGAGGCAGGAGGATTGCAAGTTCGAGTCCTTCCTGGATGACTTGGTGACCCTGTCTCAAAAAAGAAAAAAAAAAAGTCTGGGGATGTAGCTCACGGCGATGGCTCTGGCTGCTTTTTATTTTTTGTTAAAAAAAATGAAGAAAAGGGCCTGTGATTTAGCTCACTGGTGTCGTGCCTGCCTTAAAAGTGCAAGATCTTCAGTTTGATCCCCGGTCCCGGAAAGAAAAAGGCCATGGGGCCTCTGGGTTTCCGGCCCAGCTGTTCCCTTGGAATTCGATCCCTGGCTCTACAGCAGGACAGCTGCACTGGGTCTGTGAGGGGGATTGGGGGTCTGTAATCCAAGCTCCACCGGCCCTCTTCTCCCTCAGAGGTGGTCGTTGATTTCCAGAAAGGGAGAAGAGGAATGGAGCAAGGTTGCCAGGTTTGTGCTCTGGAAGCATCAGGGTTTATTTTCGATTTCTGTTCTGTGTGATGAAAATGGATGCAGAAGGCGGGATGTGTTTTCAGAAGCTCCTAATTTCAGACAAGTTGAGAAGTTAAACCAGTCTGAGCAACATGGAAATCTGCAGGGCACCGCCCACCAGCCCGTCCAGGCTTTTCCGGGGGAAATAGCCTCTATCTCCACCTGTGGGGAGATAGCTAATTCACCATGGCGACGGCTGTCGCATGTTTCTGGCTGTGATCTGTGTGAGAAATACTTTGTACTGTGATCTGGAGACCCCTGCCCCATAATAGAAGATAAAGCCTCATAAAACATCTTACCACACAAGATGAACAGAGATATTTTGTATTCTGTTGTTTCTGTAGAAAAAATGATGAAACACCTTGAAATGTATCAAAAGAACGGCTAGGGGCCGGGGATTTAGCTCAGTGGTTCTGCTGCCTGCCTTGCAAGCAGGAGGATCCGAGTTCGATCCCCAGTACCAAAAAAAAAAAAAAAAAAGAACGGCTGATGTCTTATGCAGGAAAGGGAGGGTGGGCAGTACATCCTTCTGGCTTTGCTGGTTTTATGGGGTGTCCGAGTCTGAGCTGTTCGTACCCCTGTAAGTTGTAGATACTGGTAAAAGCAGTGCACACTGAGCCAGGTGTAGTGATGCACACCTGTAATTCCAACCCTCTGGAGGCTGAGGCAGGAGGATCACCATGAGTTCAAGGCCAGCCTGGGCTACATACCAATCTCTGCCTCAAAAAACCAAATAAAATAAAATAAAAGCAGTGCCCATCATCTTTGTCCACTGACACGTAAGTGAATTTTGTCTTGTTTAGGGTTAACGGATTCGTTTCTCCCTCTGTGGGAAAAGCCAGTTTCTCTACGTCAGGGAGGTTCATTCTGGCCTTCCCAGTGGCCGGCGTTTGCTCTTGGGATCTTTTCTTTGAACTGGCTGTACAGTCTCGCTGAGTCATCTGACCAGGTAAATAAAACATCTGCTCCGTGTCCATTTTCTGTTCGTATGAGGGTCATGGTTTCACTCTTTAAAAAATAGAGGGTGGGCCGGGGATTTAGCTCAGTGGTTCCGGCACCTGCCTCGCAAGCACGAGGACCTGAGTTCAATCCCTGGTACCAAACCGTCCCCCAAACCCCAAAAAACTCTTCAAAAAATAGTAACAGGGTTCTCCGTGCAAAATGAAATGGCAGGGGCTTTATAGTTTCCTCTTTTCAGTATTTTCTCAAATCTTCATAACACCCCCACCTCCTGCGACTCCACTGCCTCCCAACCAGGGCCAGGCTGGGGACCAAGCCTCTGTCACACGGGCCTTGGGGGACCCTTCAGACCCAAGCTACAGCAGGGGAAGCCGTACAGTTGGGGTGGTGGGGGGCATCATGAACTTCAGCTCTGGAGCAAGAAGGAGCTGTCACAGGACAGTGGACAGACGAGGCAGGACTGGTCACGCACCCCCAGACAGGTTTCTGCAGCTCACTGTGGGGAGGAAATGTAAGTGGGAGCCTGTTGGTTTCTCTTGAGGGAAACAGGAGACCCCGGAAAGCACCGACTTTTAAAGAAAGAAAAGGAGACAGCCTGGGGGACGAACTGCAGTTTAATTCCTCTGGCACTATTCGACCATCACAGAGGGAAGAAGCAAGGCTTTTATACATGTGGGAAAGCAGCTTGGTTATTCTGGCTATTGTCTTTCTGATTTTCACCTCTGATGATAACCAGTGACTCAAAAAAACTACAGGAGAATTCACAAGTCCCCTGTTTCCGTTCACCAATCCCGTACATCAAAGAGCACACCACAGCCCTCTTCTTATCAGATAGTATCAAGAGAGCAGGACAACTTTAGCCAAAAAATCAAGCCCACTGGCCCACATAAACATCACAGATGTGCATAGTGAGTCGTATCTCTCTCACCACCCATGGAGTCATTGGGTTGCGGTCCTCTTGATCCCAGAAAATGGTAAATAAGAAAACTAGGAAAACCTGTTTTTCTCCTGTGAGACTTTTACAAGGTCTCAAAGTTTTCTGGCATTCTTTTAACAAACAGACTTGTGGAATTTCCCAGAAATGACTTAATTCTCTTAGTTAACAAACTTCTTGTGAACTAGATAGCTGAATTCTACCATTTCCCACAATTCCCCCTTTTTTATTTTATTTAGGCTAAATTCTTGATTCTAACGTCGAGAAGATCAAGGGACAGGATCTTGACAGGCCGGGAAGGGAGACGTCTTATGTCAGCTCAATTTGATGTCTGGTCCTTCTATAATTTTATAAAACAGTAAGAGATATAGTAAAAGAGGAAATAATATTAAAAAAAATCATCTTTAAATTTATCAATCATTGTATAAAGGGAACAGAGATGGTTTCTGTTTTTGTTTTAGCATATAAGTAATTTCTTTTGGGGGGCACAATCCCACACAGTTAAGGCATGCATTGTTACATTTATCTTAGTCTTAAAGGTTAACAAGTAACTCATAAAGCCACAGGCAAGTTTACACGTCTCGTGTCTCTGTTCACCAGAGCCGTACATCTAAGAGTATATCGTACATCCAAGAGCATATCGCAGCCCTCCTCTATCAGATGTTTCAGGAAAGCAGGGCGATTTCTGCAGAAATCAAGCCCACAATCTTTCCCTCCATCTGTAGAGTCAGGGGCCCGTGATTCTCTGACCCCGGACAATGGTTACTAAGAGAGCTTAGGAAAACATGTTTACTTCCTATGAACTTTTACATCATCTTTTAAGGCTTTCTGCAATCCTTTCAGCAAACAGGCCCGAGGAAGTTCTCTGAGACATTTACTTAGTTCTTTCAATTAACAAGTTTCTTACAATTAGTAACCAAATCCTAGAGTTGAGGACATTCACAGAGAATTGCTTAATTTTCTCATTTCACAAGCTTCTTACAATTAGTAACTAAATCCACATTTTCCCATAATATTCCCCCTTTTTAATTTTATTTAAACTGAATTGTTGATTGTTGATTTCTTCAGCACGTCTAGAAGATCAGAAGACAGGATCTTGAAAAAGTCAGGAGGGTGGACATCTATGTCGACTCAATGTGATGCCAGGTTATTCTACAATTTTATAAGACAGTAAGAAATATAATAAAAGAGGAAATAATATTGAAGAAAAATCATCCTTAAATTTGTCTGTTGTATAGAGAGAATAGATACGGTTTCTTTCCTTTTTGTTTTAACATACATATATATATCTTTTTCTTGGGCATAATTTCATGCAATAAGGTATAAATTGAATGCCGCAACATGACAGCAGTAAACATATGATGACAAATACGATTACAAGAAAAAGCTGTTTTAGCCATTGCATGTTAGGTAGCCATTGGGTTAACCATTGGAACAAATCCCATCCTAGTCTCTCATTATGTATTTTTTCCATTAATTCTTCTAATTGTTTTATTTTTTCTTGTATCCCTGGACTATTGTCAGTCATGTTAAAACAACACATATTTTTTATTTTTTCACAACCCTGATGATGGAACAGGAACAAGTCATCTATTGCTGCTCTATTGTCTAAAATAGCCTGTCGGTGTTCTTGTAAGTCCTGGTTAATTAATGCCAAGGCAGATGAGGTGGCATTTAGACCTCTGACCACCTTGCACGCTAACTTTCGTACCGCCTTTTCTGCATGAATTCCTATGGCAGGTTGAGCAAGTACAGGTGCTATCATAGGTATCACTTCAGCACCTGTCAAGAGACCTACATCATCATCACATCCTGGTTCAGTATATGGTGACCAACGTTTAATTCTTTTGGGTGTTATCAAATCAGTTCTATCTGGCAATACTATGGCTAAGCGACTCAGGCAGCAGCGAGTCTCAGACAAGTAGGCAGGGATATAATTAAACGTTACTCCTTCACATGTATAAAACCATCCTGATGGTAAAGGTACATGACCATCATTATATATGATTTTTTGTTCCTCATAACAGGTCATTTTTTCTAACTTTTGTAATCTTAGACATTTTGTAGTACAATTTTTATATATAGCACATTGTGTATTGTTTAACATAATCATCTGAGGTGTATATAACTTAATAGCATTTTTTGGTTTAAAATAAGAGGGGGTTCCCCAATTGTAGCTATCTTCATATGTGAGATTTTTTCCTGGGAAGTCTTTAAACAAGGTATAAGGTTGTATTAGACTTAAGGGAGTGCACACCGGAATGAGACAACTCCCTAATATATAATGTAAATTTATATCTACAGTTAAACAAAACTCAGACAAATTAAGTGATTGTGCCAACTGAATCCAAACATTACCAGCAAGATCTAATTGTTTTGGGGGTAATATTGCCAATGTTTTAGAAAATAATGACTTAAAAATAATAATCATAATAAATGTAGAATTACGGGTCAATATAGCAAACATTATTATTCCTAATAAAAGAAATCCGTCAATTTTTATTTTTATCTTTTGGACTTCATAAAAATTTTTGTTTAAATCTAAAAACATTTTGTTAGGATAGAGAGGGAGATTCCGAAAGGAATCATGAATATATATTATAGGTTTTATATTTATCCAGTTATCAGTTACGAGAGTGTCAGTATCATTTAAAGGAGCCCAATGATCACATTCCGAAATACCTACGCCTACCTGAGCAGTGGCTGAATTTAACAGAGATATCATAGTAAGGAAGAAAAGTACTGAGCGTCTAGGCTCAGGGGGGGCTGGGCGCATAGATGACATGCAGTCTCCAGCCTTTGTTACTAGGTTAGTTAACATACCCCAATCAGGGAGTTTGGAATGGTATTTAGCATGAGACTTTTTCTTTCTTTTTCTCTTTGGTTTAAGAGAGAGCTTTCTAATTTTTTGAACAACCTCTTTTTCAAATCTTTCTGAAATAGTGCTTAAAGGTCGTTTAAGCACTATTTGTTCTTGGAGGTCCGTCATCCAGGTTATTGTCTTGACTCCGGAACTTAATTCTTCGTCCAGGAAGCCAAATTTGGGTTGCTCCGCCATCTGTGGAAACACAAGCATGTCTTTTCCCCCCTGCAAACATCTGTCCTTGTGTCCAATTATTATTATCTAATTTTACCCATACTGGCTGAGGTGATTCTAAATCAATTTCTTTAAAATGTTTTTCAGTGCGAGATTCAATATCTCCTTGTGGCAAATTTAAAAAATTTAATGTAAATAGAGTACTGTGTAAAAGGTGATGTGGTGTTTGTATTAATTGTTTCATAAGTTTCTTATAGGTTGCATTTTTGTCCTTCCCTTGAGGAATCAATTTCTTTTTCCCCGTATTCCCCCTTTTTTATTTTATTTAATTGTAATTTTAACATATAATGAGCTCGTTCTACAAGTGCTTGTCCCTGAGGATTATAAGGAATGCCAGTAGCATGTTTTATATGGTATTCTTGTAGAAATTTTTTAAATTTTAAACTAGTATACACAGGTCCATTATCAGTTTTTATAGATCCAGGAATTCCCATAATAGCAAAACATTCTAACAAGTGAGGAATGACATTTTCAGTCGACTCTCCAGTATGAGCAGAGGCCCATATGAATTTAGAATAAGTATCAATGCACATATGTAAATAACATAATTTGCCAAATGGAGGATAATGAGTAACATCCATGTGCCAAATTTGATCTGGCTTTAAACCTCTTGGATTAATTCCCATAGGTCCTTGTTTTAAGTGTAGTGGATAACAGACTGGACATGATCTTATAATTTTATGGGTTTGGGAATATGGAATTTTATACCTTTGATGTAATCTCCCTGCATTAGTATGTAAAATATCATGCTCTTCTTGGGCATTAACAAAATAAGTTACATTTTTTCTTTTACTTACAAGTCTATCAGCTTGTTCATTACCAAAAGTTAAAGGTCCAGGCAAATTGGAATGTGCCCTTATATGAGTAATATAGATGGGCTGTTGTCTTTCTCTAATTAAAGCTTGAATCTCTTTAGTTAGAAATTGTATTATGGATGAAGAGGTACATATAACAGCAGTTTCTAATTGATTAATCAAATTAACTACATACATTGAATCTGCAACAATATTAATAGCTATATCAGGCTTCCATTGTAACAGAGCTAAAACAGCAAACAGTTCATTTTGTTGTGCCGTTTGATATGGGGTAGATATAACCTTTTGTTCTTTAGGTGACCATATAGCAGCCTGTTTTTCTTTAGTACCATCTATAAAATAAGTTTCTGTTTTTGTAAGGGGTTTAGTAGCAATAATTTTATTAATAACCCATTCTGTCATGGTAAGAAAATTCCACATTTTTCCTCTAGGGTAATGGAACATTATATTTCCAAAGTAATTTGCTAATGCTAATTGTAAAGTATCTGTTTTCATTGGTCCCTCAAACTGTTCTTTAGTAAATGGTAAAATAACATTATCTGGTTCTTTTCCCAACATTTGTTTACTACGAATTCTTCCTCCAGAAATTAATTTTCCTATCATACTAATATATGAATTAACAGATGAAGAATATTTATGTTTAGAATGTATCCATTCTAGAATTCCGTGATCTTGAATCAAAACTGCAGTAGGATATAATTTAGTGGGAAGAATCATGAGCCCTATAGCCAATTTTGGATCAAATCTTGTTAGCATATTATTTTTAAAAGCTTGTTCTACCAACTGTAACTCCTTTTCACCTTCTGGAGTAAGAGTTCTTGGGCTATTTAAATCTGAATCTCCTTCAAGAGTGTTAAATAAATTTGTTAAGTTGCCAGTAACAATACCTAAAGCAGGACGGACCCAATTAATATTACCTAATAGTTTTTGAAAATCATTTAATGTTTTAAATTTACTTCTATCATGGTAATTGATTTGGGAATTATCTGCGTTTTAGTAAGTTGATAACCTAGATATTTATAAGGTGTAATCTGTTGAATTTTATCTGGAGCTAGAAAAAGTCCGGCCTCTGTTAAATTCTCTTGTACAAGGGAAAAGATTTCTGAAGCCTTTTGTTCATTTATATGAGCTATTAAAATATCATCCATATATTGAATGACCAGAGCTTCTGGATATTTTTGTCTAACAGGTCGCAAAACAGTACCCATAAAGGCTTGACACATAGTAGAATTCATCATTCCTTGTGGTAAAACTGTCCATTCATATCGTTCTAAAGGTGCCTGAAAATTAATGGAGGGGACTGAAAAAGCAAATCTAGCAGTATCATCAGGATGTAATGGGATAGAATAAAAGCAATCTTTAATATCTATAATAATTAAAGTCCAGTCTTTAGGTGTAGCTGTTGGGGATGGCAGTCTGGGTTGTAGAGCTCCCAGCGGTAACATAGTATTATTTAGTTTTCTGAGATCAGTAAGCATTCTCCATGTGCCTGATCTTTTTTTAATAACAAACACAGGAGAATTCCAAGGAGAAGTAGAGGGTTTAATATGTTTTAATTTTAATTGTTCTTTTACCAGTTGTTTAAGAGCCTCCAGTTTTTCTGTAGTTAGGGGCCATTAATCTACCCAAAGGGGTCATCATTTTTCCAATTTAATTTAATAGGTTCTGGAGACTCTACAATGGCCCCTGCCCAAAATATCCTAAACTGGATTTGTCATTTGGGCTCTGTCCGTTACCGGGAATAGGGGTAATTAATCCTTGTTCATGTTGTCCAATTCCTAGGCCAGGTGTATAACCCATTTTTTTCATTATTTTTTTACTCTCTTTAGAATAGGAGTTTTGAAAAGGTATAACAAGATGAGCATGAAATTGTTGTAATAATTCTCTTCCCCATAAGGTTATAGGTAATGGCATAATCCTGGGGCTAATAGTGGCTAATTGTCCTTCTGGCCCTTCAGCCTTATATATATGAGCAGCTCTTTGAATCCTTTTTATTCCTTGTGTTCCTACCCCTTGAATATGACATGGGTCTTCTTCTATTGGCCATGATTTAGGCCAATCTTTATCTGATATGATAGAACAATCTGCTCCAGTATCAGTCAATCCACTAAATAATTTGCCATTAATTTTGATTTTCAATAGAGGTTTTTGATCAGTAAGTTTTTCAACCCAATTTACAGATAAATCAGTACTTCCAAAACCTCCAATTCTCATTTTATCTGATGATCCAATGGCTTTCTAAGGTAAAACTAATATTTGAGCTATTTTATCACCCTTTTTTATAGGCCAACAGGAGAAGACATCAGTATTATTATTTCTCCTGTATAATCAGAATCTATGACTCCTGTATGAACAATGACACCTTTAGATGTAAGACTAGACCATCTTGGGGCCGGGGATTTAGCTCAGTGGTTCCGGCACCTGCCTCGCAAGAGCAAGGACCCAAGTTCGATCCCCGGTACCAAAAAAAAAAAGACTAGACCGTCCTAAAATCAAGGCACAAAAGTTTTTTTGTAAAGGCCCATAAATTCCTGTTCGAACCCTAACAGGCAAGTGTCCAGGTGAGAGGACAGTGTCTTCCAAGGCAGAAGTGTCTACTGCGGCACTTCCTGCAGTGGCAGGACACGGTGATCAGCGGGAAATTTTTGAATCTGAGGATTGTTGATAAACCTCGTTGTTTCCCAATTTTGATTGACCTGGGAGACTGGGACAACCCCTGGGAAGCAGTTTCCCGAATTTACTCTTTCTGTCAGGGGATTTCCTTCAATATCAAATTTAGACCTACATTCTTTAGCATAATGTTTTCCCTTTTTGCATCTTGGACATAGCCCAGGTCGTTTATTTTTCTTTATAATGTTTTTTGGATTAAATGATGGTTCATTCTTTGACATAGGACAATTTTTCTTTATATGCCCCTTTTTTCCACTTTGAAAACATCCTGAAAATGATTTTTGTTTATTAGAGTTTAAGGCCTGAGTCAAAAAAGCTGCATGTATTTTAGCTTTATAAGTTTCTGATCCCTGTTCTCTACAAACTTTAATATAATCATATAAAGAACCTGAGTCTTTTATAGGCTTGATAAGGTGACGGCAATCAGCATTTGCATTTTCATAGGCCAACATTTTTAACAACATTTGTTGTGCCTCTTCTCCTTCTACTTGTCTTTGAATAGCTCCTTCTAATTGAGAAACAAATTCAGTATATGATTGGGAGTTTCCTTGTTTAACATTTGTACAAGCTCCCGTAGGAGATCCTTTAGGAGTTATTTTTTTTAAAGGCTGTCACACAAATGCTAGCAGTTTGTTCAGTTGCCTCTGGATGGAGCTGTGCCTGAGCGGCATGTATTAAATTGTCCATCTCCTGCTAGCATATCAGCAGTGATATGTTGATTGTTAACATTAGCCATATTATGCTGTACCTGTTCTTTAATCCCTTCTTGACACTACATTTTCCATTCCAAGAACTGAGAAGGTGGCAACAAAGCTTTAGCTAATAAATTCCAGTCATAAGGTGTCAGATGGCCCACAGTTCCTGGTAAATTTCCAATTAGTCCTAATGTATAATCACTTTGTATGCCATAATCCATTGCAGCCCTTTTTAAATGCCTAAAAATATTTAAGTCCCAGGGCTGATGTTGTCTTTGGCCCTGTGCATTTACCATAATAGGATAAGCCATTTGTGGGGCTGATAATTCATCCTCAAAGCTTAAAGCCTTTAAAGCAGCTTCAAATTTTGTTTGGTCTTATTGAACATGTACCGGAAAATCATATTTTTTAGAATGAACCTGAAAGCCTTTTTGTGAATAATAATCTTTCTCATCCTCATCTCCGCTCTCCTCCCCTGAGCTGCTTGAGGGAGAAGAGGAATCAGTATTAAATTCCTGTCTTTTGCGATTTTGGAGAGGATATGATTTTGTCATGGGCTGGTTTTTAGATTTGGCTTTCAAAGATTTATTATTGTTTTTAAGTAATGGCATAGGCTGATCTATGGGTCCTAAAAGATCTTGTTCCACGGGCATAGCTTTATTAGAAGCTTTTCCTCCTTGAGCAAGAGAACAAGCATTTCTAAGGTCTTTTTCTTTTGGGGATAGAGAAGGAGGTGCTAAAGGCGAGGGTACAGATGGCTGTACTCCTGCGCACAAATTATTTTGGCCCTGAGGAGTTAAAGGGCAAGGAAATCCCCCCTCCTCATCAGATCTATCATCCCTATCTTGAGGTATAATTTGAATTAAATCATTTGTTGCTTTTTTCTCATCTTCCTCAATTAAACCTTGTTCTTTAAGAGGTAGTTTAGCCTGATCTGATAACTCTGTTCGTGCAGTTAAACTATCCTCACAACGAAGAATAAGCTGTATTGCAATAGCAGTTCCCCAAAACCTGTCATCAATCATCATTCCTTCTTTATAAGCCTTTCGAACACAAGCAAGCACTTCATTCCATTTATCCTCAGTCCAACCCTCCTTGAACTGAGCCAAATTACAAAATCTGTTTGCTATAAGCAAACATTGTTTTAGATCCTCTTTCTGGATCTTAAATCCAAACCTTTTTAACAAAAGTTTAAGGTTGGAAATGGCCTCACCAAACTGTGAAGACCCCTGTCCCATTTGTTACCCAGAAAATTCCCGAGTCTTACCCTGACTCAACAGAATGTCGATCGCTTCCTTGTCTTCACAATACCTCGCTGAGAGTATTGGAGGTCCCTGTTCGGGTGCCACTTGTTGGTTTCTCCTGAGGGAAACCGGAGACCCCGGAAAGCACCGACTTTTAAAGAAAGAAAAGGAGACAGCCTGGGGGACGAACTGCAGTTTAATTCCTCTGGCACTATTCGACCATCA